TATATAGGTTAGCTTGTGCTCATCCCTTACGACTATCTACACTGCCTCTAGGGGTTCTTTGGTTGGATGCTCCTCTTTTGGCTCTTTACTCTCTTTGGGAGCGAAGGAACCTGGTAATTACTATTTTAACAATTGCTTGCCCTTATCAGTTAGACAAATCGTTGTGTGATAGCACTCCTTTGCTGCTACTTGATCCCCCTAAATATTGATGACCTCTTGACCGTTTGGGCTAACGCACCTCATGACTTGATGTAGAGTTGATGAGACTCCTTCTATACGGTGAAGCCATTCTCAGCCCATTAACAAAATATAGGTTAGATGGATATCCACAATCACAAAGTTCTCTTTCAGAGATCTTTTGGCTACAGTGACTCACAGTGTGATTACGGCTAAGGGCTCCACTCTTTTTCCATCGAACCCTACCAAGGGGTTTCCGGTGGGGCGAATATGATCTAAGGCCAACTTCAGTTGATTAAAAATCCACTTCATTATGATGTTGGCACTGCTGCCAGGATCAATTAGTACTCGTCTGACCAGATAATTGGCCACTAGCCGACTGATTACTAATGGGTCTTTATGTGGATGTTGTACCTTCCTAAGATCTCCCTCATGAAAGGAAACCTGTGTAGGACTAAGTTTGCAGCCGACAACGTTGACTTCACCAATCCTTCCTAACTTATGGGATTACTTGAGCTAAATCCTGTAAGAACTCTCTGGTTGTTCATCCTCTTCCTGACAACCATGAATCGGATTGATTACTCGAACGTGATAGTTATCCGTCACAGCCTTTGGAGTTGGTTTGGTTCACTCAGGTTGCCTTTGTTGTCTTGGGTTAATTAGACAGTCTGCCAATTCGTCTTTCGCCACCAGTGCCTCTACTTGCCTTCTCAGGCTCCTGCAATCATTGGTTAAGTGGCAAAAATCACTATAGAACACACAGTGTTTACTTTGGTATCTCTGTTCCATTGGTTATCTGATCAGTGAAGGGATCTAAAAAATGTTTATACTCTTAGTTTCTTGATACAATCTGGCCAGTGTCACTTTGAGAGGTGTGACCTTTTCAGCTGTTCGGGATTTCTTATCAAGGGCTCTTCCTTCGATGCTCAGGGGATCTCGTTGGACCCTTGACGTGCTCGGTTGTTTTTTCGGTCGGTTCTCCATAGTGACCAGAGTTGCTCTTTGTTGTCTGGTTACTTTATTTTCTTCGAGTCTGATATAGTTTTGCGCTCGTGAATTCAACTCTGACATGTTAGTCGGAGTTTTCTTCACCAGAGAAGAATGAAAACACGAACCTTGCACCATGGCTATCTTGAATGCTTCTATAGCCATATCTTGATTGCAATCTGGAATACCAGAGGACTCCATGTTGAATCCAGTGAGGACCCTTCATCTGCCGAATTATGAAGAGATTGGCAATGGTCTTTTTCTGTTTCTTGTTCCCGCAGTATTGGGGAAGAAACGCGATGCACAGTGATTCAAGGTTTGGGATTGACTTGCATGGGCAATTTTTGAACCATTCTAGGGCTACCCCTATTAAACTGGATGGGAATATTTTGCACATGAACGGATCGTTGTGCGCCTCTAGCGTTATTTCCTGAGTGTAATGGTTTAGGTGCTGGAGAAGGTCTCCAGTTCCATGGAACTTTATGAACTTTGGCATTGTAAATTTCTTGGGTCTCGTAACCCGTTCTATCTCATCCGTAAAATGAGTTTTTACTATTGATGCAGTGAACTCTCTCGCTATATCTCCGAGTGTTTGGGCCTTCAACCCTTTAATTCTTTTATCCATTTCCTTTTGGAGCCTAGCGATGAAATCATTCCCTGATGATGGTTGATCAATAATCGGGACCCATGTTTCTTTTTTACCTGAATCGGCGTTATTTAAGAGTGGGACCTTGGTGGTTCAAGGCCCTCCTATTGTGGAGTTCCCTGGGATGCGGGATTGGCTTGCTGCATCATTGGCATCATCTAGTGTTCCATTGAACTGTTGTCGTGGAACCCTCTGCTGGAGAGAAGGGTTATTGGGACCTGGAGCCAGAGGAGGATCTTCGTTCTGACGCTCGAGTTGAGGGTCGATCGGTGGATCATTCTGCCGAGCATTGCCTCGAAGTCCTTCATTTTCCTGGCGCAGAGTGTTGATTTATGCTACGTTGGCTTCGTGAGCCTGTCTTAGTGTGTTGATCTATTCAGTACTGGCTTCGTTGGCTTGTCGAAGGACGTTAAGTTGCATTTGTATTTCTTCACGCATTTTCTGCATGGTTTCTTATTGTTGTGCTTATGCGGCGTCTGATCCTGTCGCCATTCCAGAATGATGTTGTATAAAAGTGGTAGAAAATAGACTTTTGTATCGAATTCCCACAAACGGTGCCAAAGTGTAAGTGCAATTTCTCACATCCGAGCACTTAAAGAAATAAATCGAAAAGAAATACGCAAAATATAGAGGAGACAACAGATAATTTTGAAGAGAGGAACAATGATGGGAATTCGATGCCTTTTCATTTTTATTCATCCTCTATTTATAATTTTTGTTCAGAGAATTACATGAAGCCATTTTCTGGCATTTTTTTCCAGACGTGGGTATTTATGCTTACTAATCGTGTGCTTATTTCTTTTATGGCAGGCATTATAGTGTTATGGGCTCGCTGAGATTGGGCTGACCATCGGTTTGTTTTATGTCAAGCGGAACTTCCTTTGTTACTCGGGCTGACTTAACATGTGTGTGGTTTTTGTTATTGGCTCCCAATTGATAGTGGGCTTTTGGGTGATTTTTGTTAGCAATGGACTGTTCTTTCATTGCCATGTGGTATGTTATGGTTGGTGGGGATTTTTCCCTCCACATCATCCACGGCTTTTTGGGCACCTCTGGCCGCTGAAGTTATTCAATCTTGGAAGGTCGATGTCTATGCTTCATCAGATCTGGAGTTTCACGACCACTATTCTGTTGATTCATGGCCATGTGGCTATTGGTTGTTTGCTGACCATCTATTCCCCAATCAGAGTTGTGTTTCATCCGGCCGTCACTGCCTATGAGTCGTGGATGGACATTGCCGGACTTAATGGACAGGTTCGTGCATCTCCGGTGTGGATATTTGTTGCTTCTAGCTATGCTTGGTGGGGGTTCTATGTTGCAGACGGTGTTTATAATGATGGCGTTTACGGGGGTGGCAGCACACTGACAATATACTGTTCCGGCGATGTGCGTTGTTCCATCAGCCCTGTTTGTCGCCTCGTGATGTGTGGTGTTTGTTATGGGCCCACCTGTCAAATATTGTAATGATGATCATAATGGTGCGTGGGAAGGAAGCCACTCTAGCAGGTTCTAGTGGGTTAGACTTATTAGTTGTAGTTCCCCTTAATGATGTTTAGTTATCTTGTTTTGTTTGCCATGTAATCTGCAAGCAATGTAATCTTATCTTGTTTGCCAGGATAAAAAAAATAAAAATAAAAATTAAGCATGTTTGTTTGAAAGCAAAGCAAAAAAATAAAAAAAATAAAAATTAAGTTGAGGATGAGGTCACTAGTGTGAAGTAGTAAGTCAACAGAGGTGTGAGTGCTACACTATATCCTTGAACTAGTAATCTGACCGCATTTGTTGGTTGCTTGAGTCCATCGTCTTTGTGCAAATATTCCTAGCAGAGTTGCCAAAATGTGGGGGGTTCTTTAATATAAATTTGCTACAAGTAGCAACGGTGATATCGAAAACACAAAATGAGAAAGATTCAGATAACATAGAATCTGAGGTGGATTGAGAGAGGTGGAAGCACAGGCAAACTTGAGAGAGAGTGTGTGTAAAAATGGCAGTGTAATAATACGCTATTAACTCCCTTGGTAAAGATGTGTGGAGAAACACGAGTGTGAAAGAGTCTTGGAGCTCTCTGTGTGTGGAGGTTGTTTCATTGATCCCCCTTTTTTGCTTTACCCCTTTTGGCCTTAGAACATTTTCTTTTACAGGCCAAGTGAGAGGTTGGGTTTAATTTGTATAGGAGTCAAATAGTAATCTCTTTCAGCAAATCAGGTTGAGTGTTGATTCGACGGACCCTGAACTTCAGCCACCAAACCAAATACCTTATCAAATCCTATATAATCTTGAATAATGTTCCTAACTTAGTTATTCGAGTCTTCAATCTTTTGTTTGAAGTCTACGAATGACGTGTCAGGTGCCATGCAAATTTGACCGTTGACTTTTGAACTATTATTGATGATGTGGCATAGCTACGTGGACTCGACTAAATCCATCCCAGCATTCTTTTTAGAGGTTTTTAGGGCTGAGGAACCCATGTGAGTAAAAAAACTAGATGTGTACTACTTAGATTTTTCTTTTTCTTTTTCCTTTTTTTATTTTTTTTCCCAACATACTTTGGATTAGTAAATTATAACTCTAATTGAAATTTCAAGCTAGAGAGAGAATTTTATATTTCAGATTTACTTGTTGATATTTAGTTCTTATATTTTCTTTTTATCTTTCCAAAAATAAATAAACAATTGAGTAATAAAATGAACTGTTAAATAGAAATTATTTGTTGTTGATATATATCCTTGTTATGTCTTACTCTATTTCAAATGCAAGTATATATATATTTATTCGTAGTTAAGAATAATATATATACTTTTTATAAATCTAACTAAATTATTCTAAAAATGTACCGCTCTCACCCACCAAACACACTCCTGTATCATATAATGTGTAATCAATCTACAACTGTTCTGGTGCCACTTTTACTCTCCAAGTTCACTTACCAATATGTGTTCCTTAGATATAAAATATAAAATTTTATTTTCCTTAATAACAATAATAAAACAATTAATCCACTTCGGATATGCCTAGCAGTTTACTAACTGGACTTTGGAGATTAGCAAGCCCAAGGTGTGGGGTTTGAGTCCCGCAGGGTATTCTTTGTGGCTAGTCTCTGCTATCCTTATAGTGATTTACCCGGTCTGAGTGGGGAAACGCCCTTTCGGGTCTTCGAAAATTAGTCGAATTGTTGAGGGGACTAAGGGTTCCTGCTATCCCAAACACACATGTTAATAAAATAAAAATTAAAAAATAAAATAAAATAGTAATAGGGAGTAATAATTAATATCAGCCAAATACTCAAAATTTATTTTACTCCCCACTGCACTTTTCAAAATAACGCACTATTGCGTCAAAGCAGAGGGTGGCGCGTGATTTATTTCATTTTCGCTCATAGAACGTAGCGATGAATATTTCCTCAGTTCAAAAGCTCTGTCAACATGTGAGTTGCGATCCCTTCATGAACTTTGAATTCATTTTTCAAATCCCTAATTATTTGTTTCATGATTTCATTTATCAAATTGTTCTACATTTTGATTTTACAGTTTATTTGTTCTGCAATTCAAAGATGTCGCAAATCGGACGATCTTTGCAGAATATCTGTAATGCTCAAATCAAATTCATCTTGGGATACTTCTCTTGTTCGAATCTCAAGTATTGATCTCTATATCTATATCTCTCTAAATATTTGCAGACACATATACATATCATGTGTGTGTGTTTGTGTGCGCGCATATATATATATGTGTGTCTTTAAATATTTTTATCATTACTTTTGCCCTAATTTTGCTTGAAAATATTGTCTCAGAATTTAATGTGTCTATAAATTTGCATTTAGTATACGATTCCAAGTTGCTTTTAGTTTTCTGCAATTGTGGAGATTGGAGCATCGCATTGTTATGCTATTTTTTTTTTCTTTTCTAAAATGAAACTAATGGGCCAAATTGGACTAAAGTTAAATTGCTTTTCGTGTTTAAGCAACTAAAATCGATGTTGATTCTATTAATTGTTTTTAATCTGGTGATCTTTCCTTGCCTAAATTGTGTTTGTGGATTTAGCCTTGAGAGCTTCAAATTAATCGTTGAAATCAAGAGGATTGAACATTAGGAAGAAGCTTGTATAAGGTCTTCCTCTTCACAAGAACCACAAGCTCTCCTTATTGACATTGTTTTTACATTCAAACTTTTCCAGACTCTTATCAATTTAATGGTCAATAGGGAGAGCTGCTGGGCTCTTGTAGAGAGAAAGGCCTCTGGCATTGCTCTTTACATTATTAGAAAAATAAAATAAAAAATGAGAAGTTGGGTTTTAATGAGAAAATTCGTAAATGACAGAATGTGTTTTGGTTATTGGCCAGTTTCGGATACGGGTGTGGGAAGTTTCTTGGAAGAGTTTCAGGACTTGAAATGCACTGGGGATCCTGCTTCAACTGAAAAATGGGGTAAGTCAAGGAATTATCCGTTTTTTTCCCTTTCATATTCGTTACATGTAGCTCAAGTTCGAGCTCCACAAGTACTGCTTCTTTAATTTAAACAAGACTGGATGGTTATAAAAAGTGAAGCCTAATGCCTTCTTGGATTCTTATTTTGGATCTAGAAAATTGTTTTACACTAATGGGCAGTTATGGGAATACAAAATTGGAATTTCTATTAACCTAATACCATAAAATGTATAATAAGCCTATAATTTAATTGTTCAAGGCCACTATTCATATAAATTGATACTAAACTCGTCTTCGTAATGACTTTGTACAAAAATCATTGTATGTCCTGCGATGCATTTGAAATGATTTTTTCTTGCTTTTGCAATGCATTTCATTAAATTTTTGGAGATAGTTTTTTCAAGTTTTTGTGAGCAAAAAGCAAATTTTCTTTACTCTTTTTTTTTTCTTAGTTGGTACTCACAGACACATGCCTCCACTGAGGCTCAGACCCCTGACCTCTCTTTGAGAAGTAGAGGCTTGGTACCGCTAGGCCATTGGCCTGTTGGTCAAATTTTCTATACTCTATAAACCAACTTCCACAAAGTGAATTGGACAACTACTTATTTGTCTGATGATAGATCATTTATGTGGAACCAGTACAAACTTTCTTGACCTTTGTAAAGCAGGTAATTGATCAGGCAGTTCAATTTTCAGGATTCTGTCAGAACAAATATCCATCATTTTGATAGTTGGAATTTTAAGCATGCAGATATAATCAAATATTCAAATAAAATTATTAATTTATTTAATATATTTCCCTGCCTTATATGCCAAATGAATTGATATTTAGGGAAATTCTTTCATGCTACCATTTGATGGATTGTTTGACATGTTGCATTGCCATGCACTTGCAGATGGAGTTATTTCTGTCACAACTACCAGTAAGTTCCATTATGTTTTGGTTAAACTTTCTTTGGTTTGATGGAAGATTATGACATTTAAAATTATAAGATTAATTAGCCTTTTCACTGCACAACAAGCTGTCCTGTGGCAATATTGTTCTGTAAATAATAAAAAAAGGGGTGCAGTGCAAGCTTTGTTTGAACATTCTGGTTGACTAGTGTTTGCATCAGCTTTCAACCTTCTCAAACATTTAAATGGAGAATTGTGAGTCAAAGCAGATCCCCTCTAGCCTACTGATTTCAAGGGTTTATCAGAAAATTAGGGTGGTTGGAAACATGAGCACATAGGGTGTCATAATGTTGGCTTGAAATTAAGGAAAAAACCCTTTTTCAGTTTCTTCACCTTTCCTTCATCTTCCTGCTTCATTATGTGTTGATCCTGCAGCCATCTGTGATAATGAGATATATCACTATCGTTTGGATCTCAAAGAAATTGTTTCTGCAAGAAGGATAACAAAGCTACCTTCAAATTCTAAGAATGGTGCAAAGTTTAGGTATGCAGTTTGGCACAATTTTTTCTCATTGATTCTTAGACAATCTCATTGCTAACTTCTTGATTATCTTTTTCTTTGTCCAGTGGGACTGAAGTATCTCTTTCTGCAATGGAAAGTATTGATGATTTACTGGCAGAGATTACTAACTTTTTTCGAAAGGTTTGATGCTTCAGCTCTAATCACTTTTCAAACTTCTAATTTTAATTTTCTTTATTCCTTTAGAAGACTACCTATTTTCCTTATTTACTTAAATTTTTCTATTACAATTGTCTTTGCAGATACTCATATTAAAGATTCCTGTAAGTTCAACCAACTACTTTAAATGCACCATATTTGATATTCATGTTTCTATGTAATTTATTGAATTTGTAAGGGAATTTTCATGACTTTCGTATTTTGAATCAACAGAAATCAAGGTTTTTGACAGACGAGCTGGGACCTCTGTTTACATTTTTCAAATATCTACCTCCTAATTTCTGCTTTTGCTAATGTACACCTGTTGGCATTTGATTCTGTTTACTGTAGTGGTGGAAAATAACAATGCCACTTGAAAGCACTATTTTATGACATCTTTTTTTTTTTTTTTTTTTTTTTTTTTTGTGTGTGCGCGCGCGCGCTGTCAAGGGCCTAGAGATTTGGCGCAGCGGCACGGCCCGTGCGGCACTAAGGCGTTGCTTCGGCTCGCGCAAGCGCCCTGGTCAGCCACCACGACCTGCCCTCCCAATGATACATGCTGACTGGTTTCGACCTGCCATGGTCTCGTCAGGAGAACGGTTCTAGCTCCCGACCAGTTTGTGCAGGAATGGCCAACTCCCTTCTTCATAGTCAAGTCCACGACTAGTGATAAGCATCTCGAACTGAACCGAGTCGACCTGCCTGAACTCTGAAGAGGTACCATCTTGTGGTCCTGTACGCCCCTTCCCTGGAACCATTCTCAGTTAATGAATGTTCTTAGCCAACCAGCATGCGTGTCTTCTATGCTCATGGCGTCGTTAGGAATCACTTCGTGACATTCTCTCCCACCCAAATCCTGCGACACCCTCGTCGCAGTACAGCGCGTGACATTCTTTCCCACCCAAATCCTACGATGCCCTCGTCGCAGTACAGCGCTGACTCCACTGCGTCCAACTTTCCAAAGTCTCTCTCCTCCAAGTGGTATGCTTGCTTGCCCACCATCGCTTCCTTGTACAACCCCTGGTTGAACTCGCCCAATGATAGGGTTTCGTTTCGGGCTAAAGGGACGCCCACTTTTTCGAGACGCAACTCCACGTTATGCCGCCCCCGCGACACCCCGAGCAAACAAGGGCCCTCTGGCTGACTTGATACCCGACCTTCACAACTATTTGCATGCCTCTTGGACTTGCAAGAACTTTGGTGCGCGCGGCCCTCCGGCCATCCGATGCGCGCGGCCCTCCGGCTTTCAAAGGACACATATTCCTGGGGAGATGGAGGCTCTCCTCCAACAACATTGATTGCCCACCGACGCTTTAGTGCACCCATTTCATTCTCAAGACCCCTGGATCGATAAGGGGGCACACCTCTGTGCTTTGCCCCAAGTCCTACTCTAATACCATTTGTTACGGGCCTAGAGATTTGGTGCAGCGGCACGGTCCGTGCGGCACCAAGGCGTTGCTTCGGCTCGCGCAAGCGCCCTGGTCAGCCACCACGACCTGCCCTCCCAAGAATACATGCTGACTGGTTTCGGCCTGCCATGGCCTCGTCAGGGGAACGGCTCCAGCTCCCGATCAGTTTGTGCAGGGATGGCCAACTCCCTTCTTCATAGTCAAGTCCACGACTAACGACAAGCACCTGTAACTGAACCGAGTCGACCTGCCTGAACTCTGAAGAGGTACCATCTTGTGGTCCTGCACGCCCTTTCCCTGGAACCATTCCCAGTCAATGAATGTTCTTAGCCAACCAGCATGCGTGTCTTCTATGCTCATGGCGTCGTTAGGAATCACTTCGTGACAACGCGCTCTCTTGATTATCAAATTATTAAGTAGTGATTTTCCCCTTTTACCATTCAAATATGGGTGGTAAAATGAATATAGGGCACATAGGCAATGTAGCCTACGCATGCTGACATCTCATAGCACACTGTATTTCTTGACACTCATAAATAAAGTTTCAGTAAAGGGGGTCCGAGCCTCCTAGGTATATTCTCCTAAAAAACTACTCCAAAATGGTAAATTTTAACCTTCATATGTGTATTTTCTCCTCAACCAAGTTTTGATTTGATAAATGAACCATGTTTTCTAATATTGACACCCAAGTGGGGAAGGGAGGGAGGGGGCATTTGTCTTTTTCCCGATTCGCATTGTACAAATAAGCACCATCCTCTTGTTATTAAAGTGTAATATATACTTCCATCCTTATTCAGTTGCCATTTTAAACATAAGATATCCATTTCAAGTGCAGGAACCTAGCCGGTAAAATGTCCATGTAGTAGCTTTACTTGTTAAAAGATTTAATTAACTATATTGTATTGACTATGTTGTGATATATTGACTCTTTTGGTCTTTATCTTGCTATTTGGGATTGGACTGTGAATTTTATCTCATAACTTTGCTTTTTCTACGGCCATAAGTTCAAATATTGAGACACTATCTCATCCTTCCTATCTATCTCAACTCAAGTAAAATTTGTTATTGCACTTATCCTAGGCTTAAACTCGTTCTTCCTCAACGATACAGTTATTGGTCTTTATGCAATATTCCTTTTTCTATAACCAGTCTCATCCATTGCAATTTGCTTTCATAATTGATCTTGATCATATACCTTGTGTGAAGCTGCAATAGAAAGAAAACTAGAAGCCATTTGTACTGAATCCCCGAGTTTATTAGATTGACTCCATATTTCTGAAAAACTGGAGAATAGAGTTCACTAACTTGTCTGCTTCTATATTAATTTTTTTTTTTTTTTTTGTTGTGATTTGTGACCCTTGCTGCAACGTTCTAAACTTGTTCTGCTGGTTGCTGCCTTGTACTTTAGTTATCTTGTATAATTTTTTTTCACCCTTTGGTTTTCTGGTTATATGGTTATATGGAAACTGGTGCTGACTAGTTGATATCTATGTTTCTCATGCAGAAGGTTGCAGTTGAACTAGTGGTTGACTGCGGTGACATTCCTGGATCACAATATGAAAATCTTATTCTAGCAAATGAATGCATTCATTTACCTTCTCCTGCATCAAGTATTGATTGTCTCAAGTCAGGCCTCGAAGATTATGTTTTGAAGCATGAAAATATTTTAAATAATATTTGTCACTCTTGCTTCTCAAGTCGGTGAGTTTCAAGTGAAAAGCCAGCGTTCTTCTTATTTGATTAGGTTCAACTTGCATTGACTTTGTGTTGATGATAAATCGACTTGGTTGCTATAATTGCATCACTGGTTGAATATTTCCTGATCTTGAGTGAGAGGAACTCTCATTTTAACTTCATTTGCATCGAGAAAAGTTACACCCTAACATTTGCTTTCTGTTTCACTATGCTATTGTATCCAAGTTTCCCTTCTTGTTCTTGTAGAAAATATATTTTATTCTACAGTATTTTTAGACCATTTCATCATTTAGGCATTTCAAGGCATACTTTTGCACTAAAATGGTATATTGATCATTTGGGAGCTGATAGTACCTTTGAAGATGATCAGGAATTTATTCTAAGGAATCTCCATTGGCAAATGGAATTACCACTTCCACACATTATTAGTTTCACTCTTTGTGTATATATATATATATATCAAAAATTTAACTGATCAACATGAACTGCTGCTCAACTTTTGAAACTGTATATCTTGCCTTATATACCATTGCTTGTAAGCTGTTGTTACATGATTAACTTCTGCCAGATAAACACCTGAACATATAACTAAATCTTGAGAGTAAGTTGTGTTCAATGTTCATCTTTGTGCATCTTGTCTCGATATACCAGCTTATAAAAGCATTTTATTATTCTTTTGGAGAGCAGCTTCCTGACATTAATGCCCAAACATGTAGTGGAAAGTAATATTGGGCGGGAGTTTTACGATGTTGCTTGGTACTAGTAGGCTAGTAGTAGGTAGAATCTTACACTACCCTTGTTTACTAAATGGACTTAATTACAAAGGGGAGGTTATCAATTCAGTCATGTATGCTCTGATATATAGCATTAAAATTTATTATTTAGATTATGGTACATAGATTTGGATATGTGAATTGGGCGTGGGTATGTGTCTAAGACTCTAAGGATCATATTTGTCAAATCCCCAAACTTAAAAACACTGGAACACAACTAAATATTAATAGTATTTAATATTTTTCTTTTATTTTCTAAACACTTAAATCTTTTTGAAGTAAGAATGTAATAAACTGAACATGGTATAAAAGGTGTTTTGAAGTAAGAATGTAATAAAATGAGCATAGTATAAAAAGTTTGCTTATAATTGTACAACAAACGTGAATGATTTGATATGATTGTCAGGTTTATGTCCAATTAGATTTGTCAAACACATACCCCATACCCACATCGAAGCATTGTGTGTCCAATATAGGTACTTTGTCCATTTTTTAGGAGTCCATGTAGCATAAGTTGATGCTTTGAACTTATTATATTCTCATTATGAAGGGAGCATCTTAAGGTTGGAAGTGGAGTCACTTGCTCCCCAGAAAACCATAGACGTAATGGGCAGGTGATGGAAGCTGTGATTATTATCAGTGAATTATCAGATCCAACCACTTCCTCCTGCTTCAGGGCACGTGACGCAAAAACAGAGGTTAGTATTGCGTTATGAAGACATTTTTAGCTTTTAAAATTACTTTAATAAAGTGAATTCTTGTTCATTAAATCATTAGCAGCAACTTTAATACTAGTATATGTTTATTACTTGTACAATGTAGGCTTAGATCTTTTTAATTAACACTAGAAAGTGACATTGGCAATCCGGAAGAATTTATTTGGATGTAAAGGGAATGAAATTGTTGGTTCTATAACAACTCATCATTGTCATATTTTCTATGCAGCTCAAGATGTTAGATATCGACATTTATAAAGAACCAAGTTTAAATACCTAGAGAATCAAAGGCATGCTTAGATTATTAAATACGATGACATGAATATCATGATAAGCCAAGTCACAGAGCAAAATGAAAGCTCGAGTGTGGTTTAGTTTCTCAAGATACCTTAAAAACTGAGGTGTCTATATTAATGGATGAAATATTAGCTATATTTTATGTTTAAGTATGTGTATATTTATATATGTCCATTCCAAGCTCTTAAGCTTGTTTTGTATTAGTAGAAAGTCAAAACTTGACAAGGTGTTTGAGCCAGTTCGACTTCCAGAATCTTGAGTAGGAAATCCATATAACTGCACAAATGGGAGGATATTTTCAGCATCTTTAATAACTAATCCCAAATTTATGAAGCAAGGATTGGAGATTACAAACCAAACTGCCAATAGGAGGACTAAGAAGAGGGCATCTCCCACTAAGGACACAGGTGGATTCGTTTTTAAATGATAATAAACCATCACTTGTTGAATTCTTTTGGATCCTATTTTTGGCTTTAATATTATACCAATAAGTTTTGCAGTCAACTTGTTCTGTTTAACCAGATGTGAGAAAATCCTCATCCTGTCTGGTTGCTTCTTATTATTGTCTCGTATTCCTCAAATCTATAGAAACAAATTGTTGAAATTTAAATCAGAATTGTTTTATTTATTTATTTATTTTTTTAAAAAAACAAAAAATCAGAATTGGTCAGTTATATAAATCTAGTTTGAAATGGGATGGTGAGGTATGGACCGTACGGTATTCAGTAAGCTCTTTATAGATACTCATTTGATGCATTTGGTTTGGTCAACATTGTTTAAGACACATGCATTTCTAACTTGAAGTTTAGAAGGACCCGGTTGATAGTGTGAGTGTTGGAACTGATAACGTGAAGAAAGAAACTGAGAAGCAATGCTGGCCATCATAGGAAGTGGATTTTACTAACATATCTCATGAATGCATGTACTATGACAATCTTCTGTGGTGTTTCTTGGTTTGCACAGACCTATTTTGCTTTTCAAAGTGAAAAGAAAAAAACATTAGTATCATTTTCCCATTTGCTTGCTTATATTCATTTATTATATGTAAATTACATATTTCTTTTATTGATTTAGATGCTAAATTTAGATGATTCACAAAATCTGTTTCTAGGTTTTTTATTTCAAGGACTTCACACTTTGTTCAATTTCCCAATCATCTTTGGACGCATTGACAAGCATTGACTGGAAAAGTTTTGGGTTGACTTTGAGGAGCATTGCTGATCAGGATGGTTGTGCTTTACTTGAATGGGGGAACTTACCACCACATGCCCATATAGATATTGCCCTGCATTGTTACCATAAGCAATATCCATTATTATATCATATACATTATCTATGGTATTGCATGACAATTTCCTTTACAGTTCACATGCATTCTTTTTGGTCACAATTACTACTCTTTAGTGCATATGATTCTTGTCCAAGTGTATTTCTTAACTTGCTGCCAAGGTCATGATACCAGCAGCAACACATAAGACTCAACGTGATCGAAGTTTTACCAAAAAAGCTGTTAAGCTTGCATTGAATGATCTGAAGGAGAAAAATAAAGGTGTTCTTCTCAGTTCACATGCACTCAAGGTAAATCTCTTCCTCGCTCTCTCATATATGACTTAGTAGAAGTTTCTGTTGCAGTTGGTCCTCCAATGAATAATTGGAAGTAAATGTTTATGGTAAACTATATATATGTGTGTGTATATAGTTTATAGTTTTATACTGTTTACTTATTGAGATTAGGATAAAATTATATATCATGGAACAAATATTTAGTGCTGAAATTAGAAACTCAATAAATTAATGCGGCGATTATTGGTTCACACTGTATTAGTAGTTATCAGGATTAGGAAGCAGAACTTGGCATTCTGTGGTCAGTCCTTGTTACATTTTTCAAACCCCACAGAGAAATTTATTCCAGATATGAGTGATAAATGGCATCATGATAGGCAATTATTCAACCTTCAAACATCTTGCTGGTGGTGCATCCAATTTGAAAATTCTAAATTTGTTAAGATTGCGACACGGCAAATTCTTCACAGTTCTTTGAAAAACTATGATTAGATTGGTATTTTGGCATAATTGTTAGTTCAATAAGCAAGTCACATTATTGAACCTTTAGCTCAAGTCGTTTCTCCTCTTCCTCCCATGTGGGAGTTTTTGAGGGTGCAAGGCCCCGTTGGGACAATAGTGAGTGTATGCATCTTCCCTACATAATAGTAATAAAAATAAATAAATAAACAAGTCATGTTGAACACTATATGCCTGATATTGTCTGTGATTCCGTGCTACTAGAAGGATATCTTTTTGATGATCGAGGATTCCTGTTTAGCCACTTGTCTGGAATAGTGTTATACATGAATGATAAACATCTTAAAATTGGAAATGCTTTAACCTGTCAAAATATTCCATTCTACTAGCTGAGGTTCAAGCTGCCTTCATTCTCAGATTTGCAGTTATGCCCCTGATCTTGCAAGAACAGTTGCTGGATTGATCTTGTCTTCCAATGACTTGGACTTCCAAGGAGAATGCTTTTCCATGCTCGGGTTGCAGTTTCAAGAAATAGAAGGAAAAGTTGTTGAAAACTGCATTAAGGAAAGGATTATTTCAGTCATAGAGATGAATGACAGAAAGCCTAGAAAAGGCCGAGAAGATGCACCTGTTCTTTTTGATGATGACTGCTTCCAGGAACCAGACTTACTAGACGAGGAATATGAAGAAGGTGAGGATGCCTTTAGTTCTTTGGATCTATAGTACTATATTTCTATCACGAGTCATATCAACACTATAGATAAGCTATTCCTTTTCATGAATTTTATGCCATATAAATTGTAAATGCTATAGTGATTCACAGGATACTGAAAGAAATAAATGGAGACTTTAATTTGCTGATTTCAAAAAGATTTTCTGAGAATTTCAACCTTCAAACGTTATGAAATGTTTGTGTATGAAGCCTTTTTCTTTCCCTGGTCCTTGCTTTCTGAATTACAAAAGGTTCATATAAGGTTGATTAGTACTCATTACATGAAAGATCATTCTTGGGTATGGTTTAGTTGTTTGCTGGTATAGCTGAACATAGGAGTGCGTCTCCGAGTATTCTCATCATGGGATTTTAGGAATTTTCAAACAGCAGGCAAAGTAGGTCCTGTTATAACAGAGATCACGGATGATTCCTGTTCATTCCTATTCCAGTACCTAACAATTACCAAGTCCATGGCGGGTTCAATGAATTCCGGGTCTTATTCTATTACTTTTGGACTCTGTCCTAGCAATTGGGGATGCATTCTAACCACGGCCTTCCCACATCCCAGTTAAATTTAAAGAATGTCCCTAACGTCGGTTGTTCAGACTTCTTATTTAATATATACATGTGTATATTGTCATGTATGCAATCGTTTTGGGGGTACTAGATGTGTTATATTTTACCTGTTATGGAGTGAAATCGAGGCAAAAAGGATTACAAACTATTGGAATGTCAAAGTAGCATAGTCATAGAGTTGATGGATCGCCATAAGATAATCATTTATGTCATATTCATTAGTATCGTTTTTCTATTTGATTTGCATCATGATTACTAATTAAGTTTTAGACATCTCCAGACTCCAGGGTAGGATAATCAAGCTAAAAAATATAGAGATTTCATATAATATTTTTGCCAAAATCTTAGGCTGCAGAGAAGGCAGGGTTGGAGGTGTTATTATATGTTGTACGATGAAGGCTCAACGAAAAAGTCACATAGAGGATCGTGATCCATTTTCAAGACAATCATCACTTCATATTGTTAAGATTCTCATATAAACAAAAAAGAAAAGGTTTCACTATAATTGCAAGAAAAGTTATACACTCCTTTGCCTGTAGATACACCAGTATATCACCATATATATATAAATAGATGGATAGATAGACTGTATTAAAAATTTATATGTATTTTTGTAAGTCACACCCAAAAAAAGGAAAAACTATCAAATAGTATAGGATAGGGTTAAACCAACTTTGAACACTATTGGGACTAACAGCTCTTTGCTTCTAAGCAGCAGATGGTGCAGGAATGTAGGAAAATGCAGGCTCTGGCATGGAGGCCATGATTGATGCCCTTGAAACAGTCTCTGCCTCGGAAAAACAGTCTTCGGCCTTGAAATCAAGTGACTCGTCGTTGTAGATATCCCACCATTTCGCAACTAACATCTTGATGTCTTCCCTGTCCATGTTAGTTTCTTTGCCCGTGTACCTCCATGGCTTTGATCCCTATTTTCCAGAAATAAAGAACGGATAAGATCATATAAATGGATTATAAACCAAGTTTTCGCTTAGTGAGCTTAGGAATTGATGAATTTGGAGGCAAGAGATTGCTTACAGCAGCACAGTAGTGAACCACTTTAACTTCATCTAGCTCAATATTCTCGGGGTGGCGCCATAACATTGCGAGAACCAGGTTGTAGACCAGAGGGATGGGTTTGTACATGTCTTGGAAGAACTTGTTCAAGAAATCCTATATATCACGTGTAAAGAAGAAAATTATAAAAAATTAAAAACACATTAAGAATCTATTCTTATGATCAAATTCTTGATAAAAACTTTGTGCTAGTCTCTAATTTACTGTCCTTTATATATACTTATTTCATGATGATGATCATCATCACATCGTTGTTATCATGTCACATTCTTAGAGAGACGAAACCATATTGTATACTCTTTTGCATGACTCCTATGATGCTGTTTCATAATAGAACTTACTTGCTCTGCAAAGGGTGTTGGTGTAGTGATCTTGAGAGTGTCAAGAAGGCTTTCGTAGGTTAAATGGCTAGGTTCGAACAGGAACATCCCGGCATTGAAGTACAAAGGAGGTGGGGAACCCATCTCGGCAGGCCACTTCACTCTCTCAGGGCACTGCTGACAGTACCCAATGGAGTACTGTGGTGAGTGGCTCCATGTCTTCTCACAGAAGCAGTCCATGACTGCATAGAAGAACCCCTCAGGCATGTCAAAGAGATGGTCGATGTTGTCAAACACTTGGATATCGGCATCCAAATAGACCATCTTGCTGTACTCCTCCAACTGTAATCACACATAAATGTAAGTACACAAAAGCTGCAATGACACAATTTAACACACCATCTTTGTACCACAAAAATTATAAATATAATAGTAATTAAGTTACAATAGAAGGGTACTATTGTAAATTCATTATATAAGTGGAGGGAGTCACGGGCAGGTGCGAAAGTGGGAGCAAATGTGAGAGCCGAGTGGCGAAAACTGTAAAATCTAAGTCACACAAGATGAGAATGGGAATCAGAGCGGGGTAGCATGAGAGCGGGAGTGCGAGTGGAGGGCAAGAGTGACACTCGTTTAGAATAATTATGTGATTTAGGGCCCAATCTATTTGAACCAGGATCCTTTCCGGCCCTCGGGGGAGGGTGGAGATAATCCACAGGAGGTGTGGACTGCTTGTGGGCTCCACAACCCCTATAGTGATTTTCACCATCTCTTATATGCTAAATGTCCAGTGTACATGAGAGGATCTAAATTTCAACCAATTTTCAATTTTTCTCTCTTCTTATATTCTCGTGGCTACAATAAATACAACCTCAAATTGCTCCCAATAAAAGTGAGTCGACAAACCAACTTTATATTGTCCCTACCCAAGTATATCTAGTGATGTCTAGTTTTAAGACTAAATTTGTGTCATTAAATTCAAATAATTAGGAGAAAGATTTGCAGTTTTGGAGTCCCAAAACTTGTAAAACTAAATGGGCTTTTTCCTCTCCTTTTTTGCTGCCTTGGAATAGTGCTTAGGACGACAGTGTTTCACCTTGGCTGTGAAAGCACACCCACGTGGGCCAAGGCTGTCATGCCAGGTGTATCACGTAAGGCAACTATAATAACTAACATATCTACCAACAATAATAATATATTAATGTTTGTGAAATTTGTATCAGAAACTTTTTGTGCCTGTAATAAGCAATGAATCTATTGTGAGCTAGGCTTAAACGAAAAAAAAGAAAAAAAAAAGCAAGTCATTGTGTACTTGTTTACTTACATTCCATAAACGGAGCTTGGAATAGTTGATCACATAATAGGCCATTGCAAACTCAATCTGGTTGTCAGGTGGGTAGATTGGTTCAATCTCATGAACAATGCAGCCCTGAGACCTCAAGATCTCCCGGTGTTCTTCAGGCACGTCCGGTAAGATCGCCACCACAACAGGGTACGCGCTTCTTGCCCTGCGCAACCCCTTGGCCAGTCCTACCACCCCTTTGACATAGTCGCCATTACCGGCTAAGAATGTCACGTAGGCCCTTTTATGGTAGCCTGCATCGGGTGTTGAGAGCTTTCCGGTGGTGGTGAAGGCATCTATGGGGACTCCGGGGGCCATTTTCGAAGCTTTCGAGTGATTTGGAAGATTTTGGAGTGATCAGTTTATGCAAAGCGGAGTGTTGGGGAAGTAAACCAGCAAAAAGTACTGAGGATATGCCACTCTACTTGCCTTGGTTCCTGAGTTCTACAATGTCACACTTGGGACACATTAAATAAGCACCAAATGAGGACTACATGCATGCCAAATGAAATTCAAATGAAACCCAAATTTAACTTTTATTGTGTTTTATCTTTATTTTTTTTAGTGATTATTATTATTTTGTTAAGTCTAGGGTTGTATGTGGATGAAACAATTGAATGAATATCATTGGTTGATCGACATACTTATTCATCCAGCCTTATCGTCAGAATGAACGGCTGAGATTCAAGGAAAGTGATCAGGTCATAGTCAATTGAAAATGGACATCATCATTATAGTTTTTCACCTTCTTTTCTTTTTCTAATTTTTCTTTTTTCTTTTTCCTTTTTTTTTTTTTTCTAATTTTCTTAGTGTTCATTGTCCTTGAGGAATTTTAATATTATTAAATAATTTTGCATCCGTGTGTTGAATAGTCGGCTGACGTGGTAATTTGGAATTAAAATTTAAGGGTGCTGCCAAATTAGTCACCGTCCTAGCTCAAAGCCAACCTTGTATAACATTTGGTTGATAAATGAATCACATTTTTTATTTTTATTTAGCTATTTTTTTTATTTATTATTTTTTGTTTAACTTAGAATTTGACCAATCGACCGGATAGAGGTTGTATCACTTAGCAAAATGATAAATGGATTACTTTGGAAGCTTCAGAACTCAGAAGAATATTACAAAATTGACAGTTTTTCAAATTTTAATAAGAAATGTTGAGATTTTCAGAGAAATATTTGTAAACCCAAAAATATAAAAATTTAAGGCATTTTATGGTGTTCACAGAAAAAGAGTTATATTTAATTAGTAAATTTTTATTAACGTGGGATTGTTGCCTTGCATTTAAAATTAATTATATAGAAAGAACAATTAATTTAAAGCTTTGAATTAATATAACCCTCAATTCCAATTCAATAATATGGGGGTGATGCTGCTAAATCCAGTGTAAAGTAATTTTATTAAAACAATATTTCAATTCGAAATTCAATTGACTTTGTAAACCAATTAACCTTCTGATAATTACATTTCAACTGAGTTTTTTCTTTTCTTTTTTTTTTTTTTAAAAAAAAATGGTCGGGAAAAACAAAAAAAGTAAAATTAAAACCTGAAACAATGATATAAACAAATGATCAAATTTCATACATTTGTAGGAAGAGTGAATCATCATATTCGTGATACTGACTTTGCAATATCAATCTTTACCACCCACTAGAAAGAAGGAGAGAGGAAATGGAGAGATCCAGAGAAAAACAGGTGGAATGCCAGGAAAGAAACACAGCTAAGGTATCGACAAGTGATCATGATAGAGTAACAATCTTAAGCTCCTTGACAATGATGGTCATCAAAATAGTAGTTCATATATATAGTTATATATATATATATATATATATATATATACATAAATTATGAGAAAAATTGGTTAAACTAACAATCTTTTGCACTTGGTGCATAATGTTGCACCTAGAAGCCCACACGTGAATGAAGATAAGGGTGGGTGGGTAGAGAATTTTTAAAGTTCTTCATATTTGTACGAAGATGGTGGAGTATTGTAAAGAAAGAAGATTTTAAAATATTTAAAAGTTTAAAAAGTGACGAGAATATTTTAGAAGTATAATTTTTTTTTGTTTTTTTGTAAGGTCGATCAATATTTTATAAAGAGCAGATACAATGTCTATAAATAGATGAATGTATTATTTCTAAGCTCTAAGGATGAGAGTAATTGAAGTATTCTTTTTACTGGCTCAATCAATTGACCAATATGAAGGTATATCTCTTCAACCAATAGAGGGTGACATGTAAACTTGGATATAATACAAACGGTTTAGTTATGTTAAATATTCTAATTTTTCAGGCGAACATGATCTTAACAAAACATTATTGAGTTTCAACACACTAAATAAAACCCCTCACTCATTCATGTGATTCATGTTATTGATATTAAAATTGTAATATAATCTTTTATTAATAACTATTTTAGTTTGTAATAAAAAAAATGTACCCAAACCTCAATATTATTAACATGTTTCAAAATTTTATATATATATTTTTATTATTTTTCTTTGACTAAAGTTAAATTATTATAACTTTATTTTATTTTATTTTAAATTTCTAAAACATGATATTTCCGTTGACGTTGCTTGGGTTTGTCTAAATTCCATTTAAAATAGATATGTGCTCAAAAGTTTATACTAAATCTCAATCTCATGGTCTGAACTCTGAAGTAACTTATATATGCCATTAAAATTTTTCCCCTAGGTGTCACGTATATTGTATAATTTTAGAATTGAAACCTAATGAAAACTTTCTCTAAAGAATTTTAGAATTAGATTTTTAAAATTGAAATTGTTATAATTTGAAAAAAAATTAATTTATTTTTTTTTTAATTTCAAAATTTTAATTTTACTCTGTTAAACATATCTTAGTTAATTATAATTTAAAAAATAAAGAATTCATGTGACAATTTTGGCCTTGAAACAAAGCAAATGAAAGACCAACACATGATTGAGGAACAACATCACGCCTGTGATTACGTGAAATTGTGAATCAATCAACTGTTACATGTTACATCTATGTGTGTGTATATATAACGTGGCACTATTTCAACATACTATGCCAAAAAACAAAAGTAGCAATTATTTGGAAAAAGAGAAGGATCAATTTAGGGGGACTACTACTATTTATGAGCTTTATCATCACCATCTGTGTGTTCTTTAATTTCTTGTCCTCGTCTTGTTTAGGGATTCCACAACAGCAATTGGGAACTTTCTTTTCTTGATCTTCACGGCATCTTAAGATCTTATACCCTTCTTTTATTTTTATAGCTTTATATATAAGAGTACAATATTTATTAATCGTAAATGGTACAAAAGTGAAAATTGTCAAATTAACACTATTTTGCGCTTTATTTTAACTCGAAATAAAATATAAGTGTTTTGTTGCAAAGTGTTTTGAATAGGAATAAAAAAAAATATTTGGTGATGTCCATTTGCTACTACAAGATTTTTTAAAGTAAAAATATTTGTCCATCGCTACAATGTTAAGAGTTTTTAAATTTAAATTTAAAATGCATTTTAAAAGTATTTTTACTGTTATCACTGCAATTCTAAAACATGTAAAAATATCAATTTCATATTTCGATTTTTGTCTACTGTTCACAAAACATTTCGACACAAAGAAAAATAAAACATTTTTTTACTAAATATATTTTTTTCACTACTCAAAAACAAAATGCGTATCAAACGTGTCCTAAGTTTGTTTTTTATTTTTTATTTTATATTATTTTATTTATGAGTAGCATATTATAGGAATAGAATAATCACTATTATTATATCTACTCGAGTATGCTAATTTGTATGCGAAAATAAAATATTAAAACAGAAATAAATGAACTAGCATGCAATAAAATGACAATGATCCCTAACAAGTTCACAATAATATTTCTTTAATTTGGTTGAAGATCGATCATGTGTTACTCCTTATTCTGTCAATGTTATCTGTTCTTGAAGATAGACATGCACTTTTGCTCACCAAATGATTAATGAATATATAATATTTATACCCTATTCAAAGCTTTTGCAATTAAAGTGGTAATTAAATAAATATAGACTTGGGTGAAAATTAAAAAAAAAGATAAACTAAAGAAATTCATGATAATGATACACACACACACATCGTATGCTTCACTACCACATTAATCACTTTGAATACAAGACACATAATCAAGTTCTAAATCATAAAAAGAAGAAAAAAAGAATGAGCAATTCAGACAGGTAGCCATTTAAGTTCGATTGCAATGACCTCAGGTCCTCAACCATGACTATAAGATATAGATAATTTATTTATTTATTTTTTACTTTTTTTTTATTTATTTTTTTGCCAAACCTATTTGTGTGTATATATCTCATTTATGAATAGGTAAATAATATTTGAGTAGTGATACTCGTATCGAACACTTGCATTAAATTACCAAATCGAATAATTTTTAATTGGCTATTTATACCAAATACAACTAAGTAGAGGGCTCAACTTCCTTATTTGTTGTATTATTTACTAATTAAAAAAGTAGGTCTAACAATTCTATGTAACTATTCGGTGCATGAATCATTTTCCATAATATTTATCATTGGCTCATTCTAGATGAGGTATGAGTATTTTTGGGTCTAAACAATTCGATTGAAATTGCAGGAGAAATTTGGTAGGCCTAAAAATATGTTATTCTCTGTGTCCAAACGACAAAGCCACTTCATTGAGAAATTAATTAGCTTACTTTAATTAAAGTACAGATCATCATGTGTTTCACATTCCTACTATATTTTGACCTTTTTAACAATAGAAATAATACAATTGCATTTCAGTCTAGTGTAACAATGATGCCTTTCGAATTAATTGTTATTATTGAGAGTGCTTTGAATGTATAGTAGGAACTGGAACGAAAAAGCGCAGATGAGTGACACCCATTGAGAAAAATTGTTTGACTTAAGTATCGTGTGAAATGTACAAGCCCTTCGCAAGGAAGGCTAGGCCTGACAAAAACGGGGCAAAAACAATCATTACCTTTCAAACATGGACCAAACAAATGCATTGGATTTCTATTGGATTGGTTTGGAGCTACTGTTTTTGGAGCACTTTCAAGTTGTATGATTTTGATGTTACGGCGACCTATGCGGGCGGGTATGAGACACTAGGTAGTTTGTGTGAGGTAAAGGTGAAGGTCTTATATGTGTGCTTGTTTTACGACCTTTTTGAGGTAAAACCCAAAAATAAAACTGTGCTGGCTAGCTCCCAAAGCCATGAACAATATCACTCCATCTTCAATAACCACCACTTGAAAAAAAAAAAAAGTTGTTCTAAACACAAAATCCAGTGATGATCATATCATCAACATAAAGTAAAAGGAGAATGATACCCCGATCGGTGCTTCGAACAAATAAATTAGAGTTATAAGGGCTAGAAAAGTAGCCAAGTCGAGAGAAAGCCTGACTGAATTTGGTAAACCAAGCTCGCG